CCCCAGCCTGCGGAGAGTGGGCGCAGCACGGCCCATGCACCGCCGCATGCACGGCTGCCGCGCGCGGGGCGCTGCTGCCCTCTGCAGCCTGCAGGAGCCGCGTCCCGGGCACGGCCGCTTCTCCCGGGCTGCGGCGGGGCTTGCACCCCTCGCAATCCCCTCCGCAGCACGGGAGGAGCTGAGAGCCGCTTTCCCCCCGTCCTCCACCCCGCAGCCCCCGCTGCACCGCACAGGAGGAAGAAAACACCACCAGCGACGACAGCATGCCCCGAAGCACCGGCCAGCTCTGCTCCCCTCTGCAGATGGGGCTGCACAGCCAAGAGCTGATCCCGGGGTACCCCGGCCTGTCCCTGTCTGGATGTCCCTGACCCCATCCCCGGCTAGGCAGGGATGGACAGATGCTGCTACGACAGCAGAAGCTCAAAAGCAGCCAGCAGTGGAGCAGGGCGGGGCTGGATGAGGCTGAGCATGGGCACTAAGGGACTGCAAGGGCAGGGGAGACAGGTGCGATGGACATACTGGTGGGGCAGGCTGGGGGGGAAAGGGATGTGGGCTGAGAAAAGGAGCAGGGTAGAGAGACTGGGTCAAGATGTAGTCTATGGGAGCCAGATGGGGAATTTGCCCCATTGTACTGGCTGGCCACAGGTGTGTGACTCACTCCCCACCTGACTGTCTGCCCCAGATAGGGAAATCAGGATGGAAGAGCTGGCACCCCCTGCAGGAGCACCCCACTCAGCCAGCCAGGCTCCCCAGCTATGCTGCAAGAGGGGTCTGGCCCCCAGCTCTGCTCACAGCCCCCCACCCCAGACCCACCTGACTTGACAGAGCAGTGGATGTGTGCCTTGGATTCGTAGTAGACCCAGTCGAAGCCAGCCTCCACGGCCAGGCGAGCCAGCATGCCATACTTGTTGCGGTCCCTGTCCGAGGTTGTGATGTCCACAGCTCGGCCCTCATAATGTAGCGACTCTTCCGAGTGGTGCCCATCCTCATCCCAGCCCTCCGTCACTCTCAGCTTCACCCCTGGCCACTGATTCATGACAGAGATGGCCAGGGAGTTCAAGCGGTCCTTGCAGCGCTGTAGGACAGAGGGACAGAGTCAGAAAAAGCTTTTTGGAGAGAGGAGTTAGCTGCCTGGTTGGCAGGCTGCATCCCACCGTGCTTCCATCAAGCCTCCCTGGGCCCTCAGGTCCTTGGGGGCTGGTCCAGCAGAGGAAGATCTGAGAACATGAGGTGCCTTGTCTATCCCATATTCTCCAAACTGCAGAGGCTGATACTCCACCATTGGGTAGAGGAGTGTGCACTCAACAGGGCTCCCTTCTCCCCCTCTCGCTCCCCTAATTCCAGGCTCATTTGAGAGCCTGGGCTGGGCCAAAACGCCCTCTCTGCTCGCCAGATACCTGCCCCTGTGCTAACTGTAGTTAACTATCAGTTCCCATCTGACAGGAGAAGGATACAGGAGCTTGAATCCTGCTGCTTCCTGGCTGGGAGGAGGTCCCAGGGACCCTAGGGCTGTCTCCAGGCACAAATGAAACAACCTGCCCCGTCCTCAACAAGCTCTGCTTGGTATGGCTCCTCAAGTCCTGTGTAACAATGACACAGCACTGGGCAGCCTCATCGCTTCAGCCGGCCTCTGCTCCTATGGGAAATGCCAAACCTGCCCAAAAGCTTGGTTGGGCTGGAACAGAAAGAATGTAGAGTGAAGCTCTCCATGCCATAAGGACTGAAAATCCTGGGCTACGGAGCAGCGGCAGATCTTAAAAGCCCCAGACCTCGTGGCCACAGAGGTCACGCATGGAAACAGGTGCCCATGGCAGTCCTCCCCAGCAAGCAGAGGGATGCCAGACCCAAATGGCTGTTTTGCAGTCCTCCCAGCCTTATCCTGCCCTGCCCCACATCCCCCAGTCACAGCTGAAGGTCAGTGAAAGACCAAAACTCTGCATGCTTGACTTGCAGAAGTACAACCCCGGCTTCTGGTCCCTTGCCCTGCTCCTAAAGGAATGGAGGAGAGATAGAAAAGGTGCAGGAAAAGGAAAATGGGAGTTTCTACAGAAAACCAGGTGAATGGGCTGGGACTGCGCAGCCCAGAAAGGAGATTCTGTGAGGTCCTCAGGAATCATAGAGTTGACTGAGTTGGAAGGGACCCATAGTATCAAACTCCTGGCCCTGCACAGCACACTCTAAGAATCACACCAAGTGAAACTGTGTATAAAACTTAAGTCAATTTAAAAGAGACAAGCTGAGACTGGGGTGTTTTTACACTGGCTCCAAAGGCTGAGGTTCGCAGGTACAGGTACAGCTGGTTCTGAGGCATCCAGCTGGATCAAGAGTCCCATTGTCACCACCCATTGCTTGTTGGCTGGGAGAACTCTGCCTCCAGTTCTCCTCTCACTGCCATTCCCCAGGAAACAAGGACTACCTTAAAATCAAGGCAGAGGACAGAGCATTCATGGTCATGCACAAAGCCAATCCTGGGAAGCATTAAATGAAATGACTGGCCAGCAGCTTAAAAAACATCCACTGCTGGTGGTGTTTTTGCACGATGCCCAATGTGGGCATTTTTGCATGATGCTCAGTACTGGAGTTCCCCACCATAGTACATCGTGGGTCTTGAGACACAGCAAACATGAGCCAGGGCTTTAAAAACTGATGCTGGCTACATCCCCAGGCTCAGAAATGCCCCAACACTGCTTCAGCAGTGCAGGGACCAAAAATGTGGATCCTCACCCTATCCCCAAACACCTGCTCCCATCCTAGGAAGGTGGGTGCTGCTGCTCTTGAGGAAACCTCTCTCACTTGGCAGGGTCCAGGCCCTGGGAAGGGCAGTGCCAGGCAGGCCTTTGCCCCACATGAGGTCTGCCGTCATCCCACAGCTCCCTGGGCGTGGGGAGATAAGCCAGGAAGCTGCTGGACAAACAATTTGCTAGGTGAGGGGAGGAGGAATAGGGAGGAGAGTGACTTTTGTCCCCGTCCAGCACCACCATGGTGCCACTTGGCACATGTGACAAGCTGCTCCAGAGGTCCCCAGCCCCACCGGGACCCTGCAGGAAGGGAGTTCAGCACTGGAAGCAAGGAAGGAATCCCTGAAGCTCCCTTGCATCCCCCAGCTATCACTCCAGGCATTCCCTTGCCACTACCATGCCAGCACCCCGCTCTGGGCACCCCTCCGGCCCTCACTGCCGGCTGTTCTGTCCTCCAGGGGCACCCTGCACGCACAAAAACAACGAGACTGTGCAAGCCTTTTCCCGCAGGCAGGGAGAGCATCGGCCACAGGCCTGGAGCACCCTGTCCCCCGCTCTGCCGGTGCCATCGGTGGCCAGCAGGTGTCAGAGCGCCGGAGGGGACCGGCAGGGAGCGGGTACCGATGGATAAGGACCAGGCAGGCGCAGGCAGGTCGGGAGGGAAGCAGGTACTAACGGGTGGGGAGCTGGTGAGCAGGGCAGCAGCGAACAGGGAACAACCACGGATCGTCAGGGAAGGAGCAACAATGAGGAGGAAACAGGCAGGGATGAGCAAAAATAAATAGGGAGCAAGCAGTGATAGGCAAGGCTGAGCAGGCAGGGATGCACAGGGAGCAGGCACAGGAGACAGAGGAAAGACAACAAAGGACAGGGATGGACAGGGATGGACAGGGATGGACAGGGATGGACAGGGATGGGTAAGGAGCAGGCACCAGTGGTCAGGGAGCACACATGAGCTGCAGGTAGGGATGGGCATTGTCTGCCCAGGGGCTCTGTTGCCTGCACAAGCAGTCAGCAGGGACCAGAAAACTCATAAACATGGGCCGTCCACAGGGTGTGTGTTTGATGGGGATTGCAGGGAGGGCACAGCTTGTCCCTGTAGTGGTGCAGATGACCGGACACCCCCAGCTCACATGCAGAATGGGGCCTCATATGAACACACTAAGCTGGTGGCTCTGCTGTCCCATGCACCTCACGGTGAAGATCATGGGAAGGTTGAGCTGGGCTGAGCAAAGAAGTTCTACCCACCTTCTGCCCTTTGCATCTCCCTTTTTGTGTCCATATGGGGGACATGAACCATGTCCTGTGGGGCAAGCCAAACCACTTTAGGGAAGGCAGCAGGGCACAGGTCCAAGATGGGGTGCAGTCAGCAGGGACCCCAGGGTCGTGTCAGGGGAAGTATGAAAGACACTCGGGTGTGACCACAGTCTCAACAGAGGTGTCGTGAATAGAGTGTGCTTGGCCACAGCTACTCCCATGTCCAGAGCCTGGCCAGGAGAAGAGGGCTCTTACTAGCATCTCCTCCTGAAGTGAGGTTTCCTCCAAAGGAAGCCAAAAGTCCTACCCCAAGGTCTTCATGAGAAATTCCTCACCACTGCAAGGATGGTCTCCGTGTCAGTTGGACAAGTAGTGGCTGCAAGGGATGATGGTTGGGGTAGGGAGAGGCTGGGTTTGGGACTCCATGGGGGCAGGGGACCCATGGCATTCCTGGGCCAGGCTGCTGGGGAGAGGTGAGGCGGGTTCTGCCTCCAGCCTTATCTCAGCACCTCCGAGTGGGACCAGTGAGAGCAAACACACTGGAATTCTTGAGGAAGATGAAACGATAAAGGAAAGGCAGGTAGAGAGCAGCACAACCCACTCCTCTAAGCAGGCGACATCTTCCGGCTGCCTGGGACACCCAGACCCTTGGACTTGGGGAAAGAAAACAGGTTTGAAGTGAGTCAACAGCAGTAAAAGCCAGTGCTCTGGGGGAAGGGACAAGGAGTTGGGTCAATGGCCTTTCCCAACCCATAGCAATACAGGACATGGTGCCAGAGCTAGAGTTCCCATATCTGGGGGGATCTCCCACAGCCAGGTGCCACAGGACAATCCCAGAGGGCTGTGGGATGACATCAAGCTACTAGAAATCATGCCACCTCCATAGCAAGAGGAACAATTCCTTGCAGAGCTGCCCAAGGCATGGTGGTACCCATCTCTGCATGGATGTGTGGTGGCCAGGGACCCTGCTGGAGTAAGAACCCTCATTTGTGCAGCCCAAGACGACCAGGATGCTTCTAGGTACCCTGCCAACAAGGCAGTGGTATGGCATGAAATGTTAGGTTGACATGTGGGACACAGCCCAGGTGTGCTGAGGGGCGCTGGCTGGGTTACAGAAGGTGGTGGGAGCTATCTCGGCAGAAAACACAGCAAGAAGCTCTCTCCTGTCTCAAACAATGTCATCCACTTCCCCAGTGCAAGGACCAGAGGAACTGACTGCTTCCTCAAATATCCCTGAAGCTGTTCCCCAGGGGAGGCAGGTTACAGCCCAGCCCCAGGGCTCCAGTCACCCACAGCCACAACTTGTGCAAGCTTGCTGCCTCGCAGGGGATCCCGGTCCCTCTGCTACAGTCCCCAGCCCAAAAACCAACCTGGACTATGGTCCCTGCCCTAAGGGACTTGCTCTCAGGACACACGGGGTTGCAGAGCTGTCAAGCACCCAAGAAGCTTCTCCTCCCAGTCTTAGGAACACCTTGGTCAGAAACTAGGGTCTTGCCCAGTGCCTACCATCGTAGCCACTCATGTTTACCCACCTGCCAGCCCCTAACCAGGGGTGCAGTGGTCAGAAGGGCAGCCCCAGCTCCCCTCTGCTTCCCCCAGCAGCTCATTCAGGCTGTAACCCTGCTGAGGCTGGTGGCCAGGTTTCTTAGCAAGGCCGTGCGGCTCCTTATCTGCATTCCTGAAACCCTCAGGCATTCTCCTGGCAATATTAAAACACAGAGTAACCTTCGTCCAGCATCACCCCCCCTCCTCTGCTGTCGTCTGCACCGTCCACCCCCCCATCCTTCCTGCTGGCCCAGGGCACTTGTAAGCTGACTGCAACAGGGCATTTGCAGTAACAGGTTGTCCCCAGCTCCGAGCACAGCAAGCAGCTCCCACTGAGCACCCTTCATCATCCCACACGAGATGAGCAGGAAGAGGGGGCACCGAGGGTTTCAGTGTCACAGTGGGGACAAGGTCAGCAAGAGCACTCCTGGAGCCTACTCTCCTCCCTGCCAGCACTCCCGACTCTGGTCTGTCCCTTGGATGCAGCGGGCAGGCTGCCTGCTCTGCCAGTGGGTAGGCAGAGTAGAGGGGCAAG